GGGCTGCAGCCTACACCATCACCTGCGACTCACGGCAGCCCAGCTCCAGGTTGAGCTGTTGTTCAGCATCTTAGCTGTAGAGGGCAGTGTCACTGGCACTCACATGTGGGATCTGAACCAGGGCCCTCAGGTGTCCCAAGCCAGTTTTTAACCATCGCGCAACTCGGCCGGCCCCGATTAGCTTTCTTAATTCAAGGAACTTCCCTGTGTTTGCGATTTTTATGAGACAAATGTTTTATGTAGTCTTTAAATTTTAAAAATTTTAATGAATTTTTAAAACTTGAACAGGACTATTCCTGCATCCCTGTAGCAAAGAGTAGCATTGAGGCAGAGCACTCTTCCAGAAAGGAAGCAGAAGATAGATCTGAAATTGGAACATATGTTTTTCCTTTCAGAGTCTGTACATTTCCACTTAGTAGTCATTGAGAACCTCCCAAATGCCAGGCACTGTGCTGGGTGCCTGACATGAGTGCATCATTTCTAATGTCCAGAATCCTTCAGGGATTTATTTTCATTTTACAAGTGAAGAAACTGAGGCTGAGGAAGTTAAATCCCTTACCCAGGGTCACACCATATGTTGTGGAGACAAAGTTCAGGCTGTGGTTTGCTTGACCTGGAAGCACACATTTCCATTATGTCATATTCTACTCCCATTCATCTGAGCTGCTATAGTAGTGGTTTAAGAGGAAAGTTTTGTTGTATGAATTCTATTCATTTCAAAATTTTTTTGAGTGAGGATTTCCAAATGGAGCTTTCTTTTTACCAACTCTCATTTCAGGTGAACCTCAGTGTGGCTACTGAACTAAGGGAAAATCAAATTGGAGCTTGAAACATGATTTTCCATTTTGTCTTAAATAAAATCCACATTTCAGCATTTTTCACAGAGCTACTTGGCCTTTGACAGAAATGCTGAGTTGTAGAAGGACATTTTGGCAGCCAAGATTTTATTTTTTTTAATTCACTTTCAGTTAATCAAAGAAGTTTTCTTGTTGTATAGAAATGAAAGCAGTGTCATCTCTTCCTGATGCCTGTTTAAAATACATAGTAAGTTAAGTATGAGTAAAAAAACCAGCAAAGGAAAGATGGCGAGCAGCAGGGGCTATGCTGCTTTCTAACACATTCCAAGTGAGTTGATATTTGTCTCAGTGTGTAAGATAGAGCGTGAGATTTGAAGCAATGTATAATTCAGATCCCCATGACCTCATAATGCCCCTGGAACTGTGACTGTGATTTCCAGATGTCAAAATCTCCTCGGCCATCTCTCATACTTGCAGGGTTTTTGTTTGTTTGTTTTATCTTCTTAACTGAGTCATCCTGCCACCTGTTGGCAGCTCAGCGGCAGCTCAGCTCGGGCCGGGAATCGAACGGGCGACCCTGTTGCTCAGAGCTCAAACTCTTGAGCGAGTTCTTAACCAGCTGAGCCACTCGGCCAGCCCTCATACTTCCAGGTTTTACTCATGCTCCATCTTTGGGATTACTAGCTGCCTAAATAGAAAAAAATACTTCAGGATTGCAAAATCAATCCCTATGTCCTTAATTTTCTACTCTTGCCCTATCTATCAACCAACTGCTTTTTTATGTGCTATGGTTTTGAACGGTTGTCTCTTACAAATTAATGGGAGACATGTGTTTTCTAATAGATGACAAGACGAAGGTTTCCAACACTCGGATACACCGTAGACCAGTTAGAAGTACTCCTTGTCCTTCTGCTCTGGTTCATGTTGGGTGGTTAACAAGTGAAATGAGGATCATGGTCCTGTCGAGGAATAATGACAAGTGATGGTAAAACTCACAGCTCAGGGAGCATTTGCAAGAGTGGCATCTCATAAAATCCTGTCAGAAACACAATATCCCCCTGTTATCAACCTACGAGGGAGAGGGGGTGGGGACTTGCCTAAGGTCACAAATTGGTGGTTTCTCCAGCCCCCTAGCCTGGTGCTAGTTCTCCTACGTCCTCAGACATTCAAAGCACATTTTCTTCACAGCCTGCAAAGTACCTGAGAGAGTTTGGAGGAATGGCAGCTTTGGGGATGGTGTGGGCGGGAGTCACAGTTTTATGTAATTGTAGTTGCACACTGTGTCACCTCGTCTATCCATCGGTGGGGGAGGTGGGTACAGATGTGTGTGGATTAACTGAACAGATTATGTCGAGCCTTACTGGGCATGCGCCAGTGGTCCATCTCTTGAGCCCA